GTATCACTTCACAGACCTGCTTGCCAGGGTTCACTGCATTAGGATACTCCCTGTGCTCCTTTCAGGATCAAGAAAAATGATCAGAGAAATACAGACTGGCCTACAAGTTACCTACAAAATCAGTAGCAGGATCAGAACCAAAATCTGGTCTCTGGTAAATGTAAATATCTGATCAGCTCGTCTAGGGACTCAGAATAAACCCACAATAGCACAGCTTTCCCACACCAGCTGGAGTGGGATCAAAGAGGCAGAAACATCAACACCTCACATTCTCCAGCAGCCTCATCAAATACGGCTGAAATGAGAAGGTAGGTAGTCCTAAAGGGGTTTGTGAGGGAGCGAAGGGGACTTTGTAACTGCTAAAAAAATTGAGCCAAAAAGCCTGAATTTGCAGATTTGGGTATAAGTCCAACTAAATGGTTAAAAATTTGGATTTAGCAATCAGACCCATGTTCAAACCCTAGCTCTGACATGTGCAACCTCATTGTGTAACCCTGAGATAGGCAATCTAATTCTTCTAGATTCTTCATCTACAGTGTTTTATTCACAGGGTCATGATAAACAAAGACAATGTCTGTAACATCCAGCACTCAACAAATGCTAGACAAGAAAATAAGAAAGAAGAGTTGGGCATAGTGGTGCACACCTGTGATCCCAGCGCTCTAGGAAACAGGCAGGAGGATCACAAATTCAAGCCCAGGCTGGGCAACTTTGTGAGACACTCTGTGTGTCTCACTACATGGTGGTGTGGGGGATGGAGTGTCGTGGTTACAGCTCAGTATGAAGGCCCTGCATTCAATATTTAACATCAGGGATGAAAATGAGGAAGAGGAAGAAGGGAAAGGGAAACAGATACACAGCAACTTACAGAAAACACGACCCAATACTCTTCTCAAAAGTCAAAAGCTTTAACCATGGGAGCTCCTGGATGAGTTTTGTTTTGTCTTGTTGAGACAGGGTCTTGCTATGTAGTTCAGACTGGCCTTGAACTCATTATGTAGCCTAGGATGGCCTCCAACTCACTTCCATCCTCCCGACTCAACTTCCCAAGTGCTGGAACTACAGGTGTGCACTACCACGCCCAGCTGGATAAGATATTTTGGAGAAAAGACAAGACTTTGGGGAAAGGTCTGTGATTGGCTAAAGTCAGTTGGAAGTCCAGGAAACTGAATATGCTACTCTTCTGTTTAAAACTCTCCAGTAGCTCCCGATAAGGAAATAAAAATCTAGACTCCTTACAAGAGCTTAAAACAGCTACACGATAAGCTTCTGCCTACTTCATGTCTTAGTATTACCTCTACCGGCTTACTATGCTTCGACTCCTGAACATAACATGTTTATTCTGTCTAGGGGGCCTTTTTATTTTTTTGGTACTGGGGATCGAACTCAGATCCTTGCGCTTGCAAGGCAGGCAGTGGAACCACTGAGCTAAATCCCTGCCCCCCTCCCTTTTTTTGAGACAGGGTCTGGCTATGTAGTTCAGGCTGGCCTCAAATTCAGCAATCTTTCTGCCTCGGCCTTCCCAGTGCTAGGATTACAGGTGTGTGCTACCACATCCGGTATGGGGGCTTCTTACTGCCTATTCTCTCCTCCTGTAATGCTCAGCACCAAAAATTTCTGAGGGCTGGTAGCTGCTTCATCATTCAGACATCACCTCAAATAAAAGCCCTTCTTCAGGGGAGCTGTCCTTGCCCTCTCACTCTCAGACCTGCTCCAGTCAACTATCCCATCAAATGTGTCTTCTTCATAGACCAAACTATCCAGAGGTCTTGTTTACTTATTTACTAGCTTAGGATCCACACACCACCCACAAGAATACTAGGCCTTCTTTGCCTCGTAACAGGTATATAACAGGTGCTCCGCTGATGTTAATTTAACTGAAAAATAAAGAGTTGTGGGTAAGGAGGGCTCAGCTGTATTTTCAGGAGCAGAATGAGGCCTGAATAACTTAAGAATTGGAGCCAAGAAGCCAGTTTACAAAACCAATGTAAAGAAAATGCCAGAAGTTTCTCGAAGGATGTCAAAGTCGGGGAGCGGCGGGAAGCGCGCTAAGGGCCTGGGGGCCACTCGGGCGCCGAAAAGTGAGGTCTACATGATGGCGTGGGAGAGGTGGTGGTGGGGAGGGGGATACGGGTGGAAGGAAACGGGCCGGGGAACGGAGGCGGGGGGGGGGGGGGGGGGGGGGGGGGGGGGGGGGGGGGGGGGGGGGGGGGGGGGGGGGGGGGGTTGCATACCTCGCGCCTGCAGCAGCCGCAGCGCGCGGCCATACAGCGCGGATGCCTCGGGGTACTGGCCACTGCGGAAGCTCTGGTTGCCAGCAGCGCGGAGCCCCTCCACAGAATCTGGGAGTTTGGGGCCCATCCCCGCCGGACCAGCAAGCGAGGAGAGTCACGTTCTCCCACGAGTGGAGCCGAACGCGTCCGGGCGGAAGCGCAGGCTGCGCGTACCTCAGGCCCGTAGCTAAGGCGGCCGTGAGGGGGCGGAGCCTTCGGGAATCCAAGGCCAGTAGAGGCCCTCACTTTGCGCCTGCTCAGTTTGTTCGCCTTGCCTCGCCAGATGACTCGGGTTGCCTTGGATGCTAGTAGTGCCTTAACGCTAAGGGTGCAGTTGTGAAAGAGGCCAAGTTTCTGTCCTCAGGTTCTTTTTCTATCTGGAGTAGTCAGGCAGGCAATCAAATCACGAGTAAGTGAAAGTGCTTATTTTATAATGTGCTCTAAAGAAAACAAAAACAGGCAGTGTTGTAGAAAGTGACCATGTGGGCACGATTAATTTTTCTTTTCTTCTGGGGAGGTATTTTAAATGAGGAGGCCAGGGACGGTCTCTCTGGGGGATGTGTAATAATTGGGATGAGACTTGCTAAGATTTAGGGAATGCTTTTCCAGACAGAGGAACATAAAGTGCAAAGGCCCAGAAGCTAGAAAAGACCTGGCCCTTCCTGGACTATTGATACTGACTTTGTAAATGAATGCACAGATAGGCTGACTTTCACAGAAGGTGACTTCAGTTCATCTCCAGCCTCTCTGTCACTTTCACTGTCCCACCAAAAACTTCATTTAAAAAAAAATCTTTTTCAGCACTTGGGAGGCTGAGTCAGGAGGATCACTGCAAGTTCGAGGCTAGCCTGGGCTACTTAGTGAGTTCAGGGCCAGCCTGAACTACAAAGGGAGAACCTGCCTCAAAAAAAGAAAGAAAGAAAGAAAGAAAGAAAGAAAGAAAGAAAGAAAGAAAGAAAGAAAGAAAGAAAGAAAGAAAAGGACTGGGGATTTAGCTCAGTGGTTTCACTGCCTGCTGAGCAAGTGCAAGGACCCGAGTTCGATCCCCAGTACCAAACAAACAAAAATCTTGGGGCCAGGAATATGGCTTGGTGGCACCACACCTGCCTCGCAAGCGCAAGGTCCCAGTACCAAAAAAAAAAAAAATCTTTCTGTTACCTGTACATATTAAGCTCTTTGCCTTGCCTCCTAGCCTTTGCTTATATTAACCACTTCTGAAATACTTCCCAAACCCTTTCACCTACCTAATCCTGAATCAACTTATAATATGCAACTCAAATATCATCTCGGAAAATCTTTTCTGATCCTCCTCTGCTCCCTATTGACCCCTAGGTTTATCTCTAATTTATCATTTACCACTCTGTCAGTTTATGTTTGCCTCCAAGACTGTGAGGTCTTTCAGCCAGCAGTAGGCCATTCCTATCTTTGTCTCTGCAAGATCTATTAAGGTCTAGCACTCAATATGAGTGTTTGTGCCCTGGCAAAATTCATATGTTGAAATGCTTTCTAACCCTCAAGGTGATGGTATTAGAGGTGTGGCCTTTGGGAGGTAATTAGGTCATGGAGGAATGTCATGGGAATGGTGTGCTTATAAAAGAGACCTCCCTCCCAGCTGCTTCCACTATGTGGAGACAGCAAGAACGTGCCATCTATGAACCCAGAAAGGGAGCTTCACCAGAAACTGCATCTGCTTGCTGGTGCCTCAATCTTGGGCTTCTAGCCTGTAGAACTGAGAAATAAGTTGCTGTTCTGTTATCAGCCCACTAAAGAGAGTATAGCTGTATACTTGTTCCTTACCCAGTAGAGCCATGTGGCCCTGATGAGATGGTAAACTCTGTGAAAGATGAAAATCTTTTTTTTGGGGGGGGGTACCGGGGATCGAACTCGGGACCTTGCACTTGCGAGGCAGGCAGTGGAACCACTGAGCTAAATCTCCGGCCTGAAAGATGAAAATCTTAAAGTCAAAAACATCTGAATACAGTGGCTCATTCCTGTAATCTCAGCACTTTGGGAGGCTGAGGCAGGAGGATCACAAGTTCTAGGCCAATCTGAACTTTAGACTCTGTCCCAAAGTTAAAAGAAAAAGAAAATAGAATTAGGGATGCAGCTCAATGTAAAGGTCGAGTTCACTTCAAGGTACTACAAAAAAAAAAAAGTTACCTCCTGCTAAAAACTTGATACAATCCAAATGTTCATCACCTGATGAATGGTAAGTAAAATGGGCACCCAAAATGTATACAGTGAATATGCCAACAGTACTGGACTGAATATTCTGTGGGAAAAGAGGTCTATCATAATTTCAGTTCATCATGTGGAAAAATCCTAAGAGACAAAGGAGAGATGTTTGCTATTGTGCGTTGGTTAAGTTGAGCCTAGAGTTCAACGAGGTAAGCAGTAAAAACCCACAAATACTCAGGCATACTTGGAGTAGTGCCTCTCCCATTGTGCAGAACTTGGCTTGTCAATCAACAGTTCTTACCAAGTTCGTGCTTTGGTAAAACCTCAGTATCTCTGACCGAGTAATGGGAGAGACCCTTAGAAAAGATGGATTCCCGGCCTGGGGCTCTAGCGTCTTGGGCCGATACTGTAACAAATAGCGCCCCCTGTGGACTCCGCCCGCAGTGACACCGGGGTGAGGAACCTAGGGTTCAAGGTTCCCGGGTCCACGCCCCTACGTACCACGTGACCTGTAGCCGCACCACGTGATCCAGCCTGCGTCCTCACGGCTCCGCCCTCTCGCGCACCGCTTCCGGTAGGGACGGAAAGCGGAAGTGTGGGAGGGTCTGCGGGGCGGGCTCAGAGAGGTCTTGGGGAGGATGGAGCAGTGAGAGGGTTTGGGCGGCTGCTGGCGGCGCCATGGAGACGGTGCAGCTGAGGAACCCGCCTCGCCGGTGAGGGGCCACTGGCTGGGAGGAGGGAAAGGCGGGAATTGGCTGAGGGAACACCTGTGTGGGAGCCCCCGGAGAAGAGGGACCTGCGGGGCGAGGCGTCTGAGTCGATGGGACCCCTGCTGAGTGAGGGGGCTGGATCCCTGGCGGCTAGAGGTCCGCCTGAGCTCAGCCCCGGCGGAGAGGGATAAACGTGCGGGGGTATAGAGGGAGCATTCGCTGTGGGGAACTCTATTGAAAAACTTTGGGACAAGTTAGAGAGAACACCTGCTGAGGCCAGGGGCCTCTCAGAGAAAGGAGCTCCAAGAAGAAACTCGGAGGTAGAGGCGAATGTTGAGACAGGATAATGAGAATGTGCGAGGAGTCTAGGATTCTAGGGGAGTGAAGTGAGAACTCCGGAGAGAAAAGCAGATGGAGTTTCTCAGGATTCTAAGTCCCAATTGAAGGGTGCAGCAGGAAAGATCGGTTGCGCGAAAAAGCTTTGCCTCGGAGGCTGAACTGCGAAAAAAGGTCGAGGGTCCAGCAACGGAAAGGTACCTGGAGGATAATATTCAAAAGGGTGTTTTTCTCCCCACTCGAAAATTTTGGCATCTTTTCCTGATTTTCTTTACATTCTTCTCAGTTCCTCACAACCCAACATTGGAAGTTAGAAAAGGAAATAAGATATTTTTAGCATGTGCAGTCTGAGTTCGAGAAGAGTTGAGACATATGAACCTGGCTAGATTGTACGCTTTTTGGCCTTCTGTTGTTTTGTAACCATCAATTCCAGATCCTAGTGGTACCTGGAATTGTTTTTGGTCAAGATCTCAAGGAGGTGGTTGATCCTAAAAGTCTGCAGTCTTGGATTTGTTGCAGTTGTATTATTGATTTCCCCTGGGACACTTGGGTCTATGCCACTCTGCCACATCTGGAAGAAAGTAGGGAGACTGAGGAGAGTCATATTTCTCTGTTAGTTAACTTCTGTTTCACAAAGAAGACTTCTGACTTCCTGCAGCAAAATGAACACTGAAGTAGGAAGTGTTCAGTGTGTCTGAGTGCTGGGCAACTGAAAGATGAAGGAAAGGGTTGACAGCCTGGGCAGCCCTCTTGGGGGTTGATTGAAGTGCACAAACATTATGGAAGGCAAATAGCTTGTTGGGATGGGCTCATAATTTATTTAGTCTAGTGTGCTGAGGAGGTAATAGCAACTTGTACCTTTACAGGGTGCCAGGCACTGTTCTGAGTATTTTGCATGTCTCCTATTAACCGTATGAAATTGGTAATACTTGACCTTTTTTTTTTTTTTTCGGTACCGGGGATCTCAGGACCTTGTGCTTGCTAGGCAGGCGCAGCGCCACTGAGCTAAATCCCCAGCCCATATTTGATCATTTTTGAACTGTAAAAAATGATAGTTTTGGGCCGGGGATTTAGCTCAGTGGTTTCGCCGCCTGCTGCGCAAGCACAAGGTCCTGAGTTCGATCCCCGGTACAAAAAAAACCCAAACAAACCCAAAATGATAGTTTTCTGTGATTCAACTTATTGTCTTATATAAAATGGATATCCCTGTTTTATAGATTAAACTGAGCCACATAGAGGCTAGTGATTTGCTGGAGGTCCCATAGCTAGTAAGAGGCAGAGTTGGCGTTTTAACGTGCAGGTGCTCTGGGCCAAAGTCTACGCTCTTAACTGCACCACTCTGATGCTGTATGGAAGCACCCTCGTTTTACAGGTCATTGTGTATGGTAACATATATTTACTGTAGCATCATAATGATCCAATTAGGAATGTATACTGGTGATTTTTTTTCTGAAATAGATTCTATTTGGTTTCTTTCTTGGAGGCTTTCATTAGTTGAAAGAAGATGAGGAATCTGAGTTTTGTTTCCTCCTTTGCCTCATGTTGTATAATCTTAGGAAAAGGAATAAAGTTTTTTGCTTTTTGACATGTTCATTTCTATACTTTCTAAATTTGTACTGAGGATTGAGCCAAGGGACTGCTGACTCGTTTTAAGACATATCTCAGTAAGTTACATAGGATGGGCTGGAACTTGTGATCTTTCTGCCTCAGCTCCAGAGCAGCAGGGAATCATAGATGTCTGCCACCATGCCTGGCTTCCTGTACCTTTTGAATAAAAAAAAAAAATGTAAGAGAAGGCATTGCAGGACTGAGTTCTTGAATAACCAGTGTATTTTTTCATTATAACTAATGGACCACCAAATTTGCCTCAGATGAATTTTACTATCATTTGTATTGGTTTTTTAGGAGTGCCCTAACAAACGTATCACACCTGAGAGGTTTAAAACCAGAGAAATTTACTTTCTTACGGTTCTGGAGACTGGAAGTCTGAAATCAAGTGTGATGGGCAGGGTTGTTTCTTTTAAGACCTGATTGGCTTGTAGAAGTCTGTCTTCTCTAGTTTTCATATGGTCTTCTTTCTGTACCTGTTTGTATTTTCATCTCTTCTTGTAGGAACATCAGTCATACTGGATTAGAGCCCACCTTTATGACCTCATTGTACCTTAATTACTTCTTTAAAAGCCCTGTCTCCAAACACTGACCTGTTCTGAGGTACTGGGAATTAGAATTGGAGCAGGGTGGTAGTTGGGGACACAATTCATTATAATTTAAAAAATTTAAAGTGTATCTTACGTATTTGTTGTAAGCTATATGAAAATTCTGTTTGGAAGGAGAGGTAATGTATACATAAATAAAATGAGCCTTTTGAGGAGTTTTCTGTTGGGAGAAAGAGATTTGAAATTATGCAGTAGGTGAACACTTCATAAACACCACTGTTTGTATTTAGAAAGTCTTTTCAGAGACTCAGATGGCATGCGTTTCCAACCATCCCAATGCAGGAAATACTCTTTGTGTTCACAAGTTTGACATTTGTGTGTGACTAAGTTTATTCACTTGAATAAATGATAGATTGGTGTCCTGTGTGGGAGTTGGTGATTGTAAAAAGTGAGTTGCCATTAGGTAATGGTGGGTGGAAGGGTTAGGATGCATTCCTGGGATGCTAGCCACCCATGTGGCCGTCTGACTTAGGAGAGGAACATTCACCAGTATTTCATGGAATTTGTGTTGGGTAGACCTGCTCCTTATGAACAAGTGCTCAAGCTTTGTAGGATGTGGAGAAACCCAAGCTGAGAGACCTGCATCATCATTGTTGGGCTGTTTTGGGTAGTAGTACTTGTTCCATGAAGTATAAAATATCACTATGAGTCATTTATCAAAAGATTTTCCATAGAATCTTGTTTATAATCTAATAATACTTTTTGTTCTATTCGATATTCTATTTTATTTTGATAGCTCACAAAGATTGCTATGGTTATGATTCTCATCATTACATTTGTTGTAATGTAGCATTTAGCAGATATTTTTTGACTTCCTCTTGGTTATCAGGCACCAGAGTTATAAACTTCTTTTAAGTTCAAGTTGTTTTAAATAATCCCAGATGAAAACCAAAAAAATACTTAGATCGTTTTAAAGAAGCATCTGAACAGTCATATAAAGTTTGTTAAAAATATTATCAGAGTCTTGCAGCTGTCTCTCTGTTGGCAATGGCAGTTTCCTTTGTTATTCTGTGGTCTCAAGTAGTGAGTTTTGCTTTTTGTAAGGCAAAGGAGTCAAACTTAAAAAAAAAAAATTTACTCTTCCTTTATATCAGCTGTTTATAAAACTTTAATTATACTTGTTTAACGAGGTATTGTCCATTGTTGTTACAGTTATAATTCAGGGTTTTACCCAAAGGCCTTGGCATATGAGATGTTCATTTTAACTTCTGAGTTCATAGAAATTTCAATTCTGAAGTTTAAGGAGTTTCAGTTCAGCACCTTTTAAGCTGGGAGTTTTTATGATGTCATTGGAATTTAATTTTTATCATCTTTTCATTTTCTTTCAAAGGTCAGTGTGGTTACCATGTTTCATTGATCTTCAATTATGGCAAGTTGAGGCTTTGACTTTTAGTGATTCTCCATTTCTGTAGGAGATAACCCTTGACATTTATAAAATTATGTAACACCATCCTTTGTGAGGTCAGTGTTTATTGGTAGATATGCTTGATGGTCAGGTTTTTCTTTTTTTTCTTTTTTTCTTTTTGTCTTTTGATTTTGCTACTTTCTTTGGGAAGTGTGTGTGTATTTTAAAATTCAAGTCTTATAAGAATTGATATTGTCTAGTTAGTTTAAACCATTTTCTTTACAAGAAAACTCCAGTGTGACTACTTCCATATATCACCATTTCCTGAGTTCTCTTTTTTGTTGTTGTTGTTCTTTGTAATTTCAGGAAGCCATTGTATAGATAATACACACATACACAAACACACACACACACTCACACACACATATATTTCTTCCAAAGCTCTTTTCTTTTTAAGCCTGTTAATAATTTTCAGAGGTCTCAGAATTTTTTTTAAAATTGTAAATTTATAATCTCCCTTGCTTGTTATGATTGTCTAGCATAGCTAGTAAATCTGAACTGTCTGAAAGTTGTGAATAGTCATGTACTTTTAGTTTTTTGAACTAGCCAAAGGTACATGACTGCTCATGAGAGGTCTTTGTGAGACTGAAACTCCCAGCTGCCAAATTATTTTTCACTTTTGCTCATATCTAAAGGTATACTTTCGGGGCCAGGGATTTAGCTCAGTGGTTCCACCGCCTGCCTCGCAAGTGCAAGGTCCTGAGTTTGATCCCTAATACCCAATAAATAAATAAATAAATAAATAAATAAATAAATAAATAAATGTATACTTTCCACTTTGTGTTTCTGTGATACTATAGAATTTACGTGTTTTGACAAAATTACTGAAACCGTTCTAGTAGAGAGCAAAGAGCTCCTGTCTTCTCTGACCACCAGTCTAGTTCATGATTCAATATATAGTTTATCTTACATTGACCAATATCTTTTCTAAAGAGATAGTTATATCATTTTAATTTGTGAAATCTCAAGATTTAGATGAATTCTAAAGGATTTATCTAATGCTTAAATCCACTCTACAGCATTTAGCCAGATGATAATTCATTTTCTGTTTAAATTTTCCAATGATGAGAACCTAGAGACCTTGTAAGGCTGTCTAAAATAACTTCTCCTGTTACAAAATTCTTAAACATGCTGAGTTGAAATCTGACTCTTAGAGATTCTTCGCCTTTTGGTACTGACTTTCTTCATCAGGTGACCCAGAACAAAGTCTTTCAGTGTCCCATAAAAGTATCTTAGTTTCGCTTTGTTGTTGTTTACTACTGAAGAGTTTATAAAGAAGTTCCTAGGATGCTAATTGTAAAATAAATGATGTGTTTTATGGTTTAGGTCCTAGCAAGTAAAATGCTTTTTGTGTTATTTATTCACAGACAGCTGAAAAAGTTGGATGAAGATAGTTTAACCAAACAACCAGAAGAAGTGTTTGATGTCTTAGAGAAACTTGGAGAAGGGTGAGTGAAGAGAAAATATGTGTAGACCAGTGGCTCCCAGTTTTTTTCCTGCCCCATCACCTGCTGGATATTTACTTCTCTTGTGGCGATAATTCTCAAACCTGAGAAGAAAGAGGAATGTTGTCTATCAGCATGGCTCTAGGGAAGATAGGTGGAAAATTTACTGCTGGAAATGCTCTTCCTCACTTCACCCTAATCAGTATTATGGAGAGATTTAATGATTCCCGGTTTTTATTATCAAGGACATCTGTTGTTTTTCCTCTTGCAGAATCTATAGTTTGTATGATTTTATCTGGTTAACAGATAGCACTAATTAGATCAGACATATGCACTTTCATTTGTTCTTCGTGACTTCTGATTAGTGTGTACTAACTGCTTTAGTAAAAAACAATAGGGTTCAGTATTAATTTAATTCTGTATATTTACTTTTTCTTTAATAAGCAGGGTATTAAAATATTAGGAGCACCTTTTCTTAAGTTTTTTTTGTTAACTTTTGAGTAGGTAATAAATTTATATGATTCAAAATTCAAAAAGTAAAAAAGTATATATACAGTAAAAAAAAAATCTGCCCTTTGCCTCTCTCAGCCATCCAGAATCACCATTGTAGCAGTTTCTAATATATCTTTCATAGATGGTTCGTGCATTTGTAAGCAAGTTGTATGTATGTGTGAATTTTTAATCCCTCAGGAATACTGCTAGTTTAAGAGATGTCCTGACATATTAACTTTAAAAAATATGTTCTAGTGACTATGCTCTTTAAAATCATGAGCTATTCTATTCGTAAGCTTTTTGTGCTGTGGCAAAATACCTGAGAAAAACAACGTAAAGAAGAAAGATTTATTTTGGTTCATGGTTTCAGAGGTTTCTGTCCATGGTTGGTAGGCTGTATTGCTTTAGGCCTGAGGTAAAGCAGAATATTATGGTGACAGTAACATGCAGTAGATGAGACTGCTCATCTCATGTTGGCCAGAAAGCAAAGAGAACGAGGAATGACAAAATACCCTGGAAAGGCAAACCTCCAGTGACCCACCTTTCCAACTAGGAACCACTTCCTGAAGTTTCCACTGCCTCCCAGCCACCAGCTAGGACCAAACTTCAAAACATGAGCCTTTAGGGGATATTCAAGATCCAAACTATAACAGTAACAGCTCTTGTTGTTACATTTTTTTGGAGATTAATGTTATGCCAACCATAGATCTATAATAATGTTAAACCCAATCCTGGATTACATAGAATAGTTTTTCATGGATTACCTCCTTGTAAAAAAAATTAGTCTCTGACTTTTTTGTAAGTTGGAAAAATACTCTTTGGAATCCAGCAAGAGATCAAGCAGAGAAATAAAAGATGATACCAGCTGTGTTGAAAAAAGACAAGTCCAAAATGACTCTGAAGACTGCCAGCTGACTGGTGTCATTTAAGGTATGGGGAAGTGACAGTCCCTCTTACATCTCTTGCTTGTCATTTTAAGCTTTAGCTTGTCATCCTTGGTATATTCCTGAAGGCATTGAGTCCATGGGCCTTAATGTTACAGTGCTTTTAAGTTACAGTTGGAATAAGATAAGGACTGGTGGGCATAATTGTTTGTGTAACTAACTTGTTTTTTTCATTTTTAATAAAGGTAGGTTGTAGAAGTAACTGTAGACTGTGAAGTCACACAGACCTGGGTTAAAACTGTTGCTCTACTATTTGTTGTATAAGTAAGTGAACTTGAGATTATTATTTTGGAACTTCACCATCCTCTTCAATAAAGTGGAAATAATAATAGTATCTACTTCGTAGGCCCATGGCAAGTATTACATAAAATAATAGGGGTAAAGAACTAGATATAGTGCCTGTCATATAGAAAGTGCTCAGTAAGTCATAACTATTTTTTTTTGTACCGGGGATTGAATTCAGGACCTCATGCTTGAGAGGCAGGCGCGGTGCCACTGAGCTAAATCCCTGGCCCAGTCATAACTATTTTAATATCAACTAAATCATTTTTCGGAGTTTATATCAAATCAAAGTTAAATCTTAGGTGTTTTAAGTATATTTAGGTATTTTTACAGGTGACTCTGGCTTAATTGGATTTGGGGAATGTCAAAACTAGACAGACTATGTCAGGAATATACTAAAAGGAAAAACTAAGCTAATTATGATTTTTAAAAATCATGTTTTAGATCTATGGATATCTTCAGCAAGAAACTTGGAAATTTCCCTCTAAAGGTGTCACCAAGACGAAAAGTAAAGCTTTAGATCTTTTCTTCTGCCATGCAGTCACCTTATATATATAGGGCTTTTAAAATATACCACAGATATATGTGGATTTCTGTCATTCAGACTTTAACAGCCTGAGCAGACTTCACTGAATTAGCAAGATCTTGAAGCAAAAGCGGTTTACTTTTCTGAATACAAAATACCGTGCCATCCTTACATTTTTCTGGAGAGTGAATGGGTTGTGAACTTTCACCAACCTGTGTTGTGTGAAGTGCGCTTTTGCCAAAGAACTATATTGGATTCTGGAGGCTGTGGTCACGCCGCATTTTGAGAAAATCTTGTGGATCTGTGGCAGAGTATAACCAGAGCACCAGGCCAAGATGAGTAGAAAGTATTTGGAATTGAAACCTCCCACCTTTTTCCTTCTCTTACACTTAAAAGTTTTACACACTGACTTAAGTTTTTATTATAGGATAATAAAAAAGCATCCTTCTAGTGAGTGATGTTGCCAGTAAGATTTGTACTTGATTACATTGGCCTCAGATACTCTTTACATTGATCCTTGCCTTATATGGCTTAGGTGAAACATCTACTTTACCATCTTTGTTCTCTGCCCATTAGAATTCATTCAGTCATTTGGGGTTTGTTGTTGTAGGAAGTCAGGTGTTAGGAGACTTGCCTATAAGTGAGGATGATTGCTGAAGTCTTCTAACTCTTCATCAGATTGCTATAAATACAGCGGGTGGAATCGTACATCTCAATTGTTCATATGAACTGTTGGAGTTTTCTTTGCTATCGAGATAGCATAAGGAGGTCTGGAGATTGCTTTGGTAGTGACTGCTGAGTGAGTGCATGCAGAGCTTTCCTGTTTCCATTTCTTACACATAAGAATAATGGGGCTGGGGATTTAGCTCAGCGGCACTGCACCTGCCTCGAAAGCACAAGGACCTGAATTCAATCCCCAGTACCAAAAAAAAAAAAACTGAAAAAGAATAATGAATAAGCCAGGGGTATTGGCACATGCTTGTATTCTCAACTACTCTGGAGACTGAGGCAGAAGTGTCTCAAGGTCAAGACAACCCTGGGCAACTTAGACCTAGCTTTAATGAATGTCAGTTCTCTTAAATATTTAATTTTTATTATAAAGAATGTTTTATTAAAAGGACATACAGGCAGCTAACGGCCAGGGGTAAAAAAGAATTTATCATAATAAAGGATGTCTTATCCTTATCAGGAGATAGTAGTTGGGCTTTCTACATGAAGTCATAGGCTAACACTAGGTTCCCTATGTGTGAACTAAAGCTGAAATAAACTTGCCTTACTTATAGTCTAGGGAAAAAGCAGAGGTACCGGTCTGAAAATAGGTATGTTGTCATTTTAGATATATGTTATTATATCTCATACATACAGGTATGAGACCCTGAATGGCAAGGCCCTCAAGGACCCCAAGCAACAGGACTGAGGGAACCATAAAACCATCTCATTGAGCATTGTGTAATAGAAAATAATTTGAAATGAAAGGAAATTCATTCAAAGAAACCCACTGCCATGAGGAGATAATACTGATAAGTTGGAGAATTCACACTCAAGAATATAGAAATAATGGAGCCATTTAACAAGAGATTTTCTTTCCTTTTCTCTCTCTCTTTTTTTTTTTTTGAGCTGGGATCTCACTATGTTGCCCAGGCTGGTCTGGAACTTCTGGGCTGAAGTGCCTTACTTTGCCAAGTATCGGGGACTACAGGCACATGCTACCGTGTCTACTTGAAAAGAAATACATTTGCAATTTTCAAAAAGCTGAAAGGAGGGAATAATATCCTTGAAAGAAGAACACTATACTAAAATAATTGAAATTTTAAAAACCCAATAATTGGATAAATAAACTGGACAAGATGAAGAGAATTTGTTAATTGAAAGAGAGAAGTGAGACTGATTACTGATGATACTAATCACAAAATGCAAGACAGAAATAGTATTGGAAATCAAAGCAACATAAATTGAGAAGGTCCAATATAGGTTCATAGAAATTCTAAAAGAGATGAAATAAAGAGAAAATGGTGAGAATTTTTATACTTGAAAGACATGAGCCCTCTGATTGAAGAAGCTTATGAAGTGCCAAATAAATCAGCTCATAGATAAAGTAAAATTGTAGAATGAAAATTAAGGAGAAGGCATCTTAAAAGGTATGGAGAGGTTCCTTACGGAGAATAGTAATCTGATGAAAGCAGGCTTCTCAGCAACAGCAGATCCTGGAAGACTGCAGTCAGAGTGCTGAAGGAAGGCTGTTGTCAAAGGAGAATTCTGTGACCAGCAAAACTCATTTTGGAGTGAAGATGAAATAATTTTCAGATATGTAGGGTCTAGTGTATCAAAAATATCTTTGGTGAGCCGGGGATTTAGCTCAGTGGTTCCACTGCCTGCCTCGCATGTGCAAGGACCTGAGTTTGATCCCCGGTACCAAAAAAAAAAAATCTTTGGGTAGGAGTTACAGAATACTTCAGCTTGGGCCAGGGATTTAGCTCAGTGGTTCCGGTACCTGCCTCGCAAGCACAAGGTCCCGAGTTCGATCCCCGGTACCAAAAAAAACCCAAAAAACAACAGAATACTTCAACTAGTAGTGGCTAACCTATAAAGGCATTTAATAACTAATTAATTTTGAGATAAGAGATTTCAGAAGGGGTTAGTTGACTTAATGATATGATGTTTTTGGCAGTTCTTATAGTCTCAAGATGGTTGCATTAGTTTTAAGTGTTATCCTTCACCTGACAGCAACCAAAACAAAAAGGGAGGTGGAAATGAGTCTTATATGCTTGTCTGTTGCCAAAGAGAAAAATCTTTCCCAGAAATCCTTCAGCAGAATTCTGGGTATTTTTTTGGTACCGGGGATGGAACTTAGGACCTTGTGCTTGCGAGGCAGGCACCGGAACCACTGAGCTAAATCCCCAGCCCCTTCAGCAGAATTCCAATGAAATACTATTGGCCAGAACTAGGTCATATACTTGCTACTAGTTCAGTCACAGGCAAAAGGGACAAGGAATACCGTGACTGGCTTGGCCTAGTATAATTTATCCCTTAGGACCAAGCACGTTGCTATCCTAATAAACCAAGGTTATTATTAGCAAGGAAGATGGGCAGTGGTTGGGTCTTCCACATATGGTCAGTAGTTGCCTTTCTGTGACAAAAATGTATTTGATGCCATATTTAAGCATCATTATACCAATTTTGAAAATACAGGAATGCTGATGTTATTTTTTATGTGCTGTGCATGGATTTTTAAAAATTTTATGTTACTTTGACATTGAAATAATTTTCAAGCATCTTTTGGGAAGCTAGAGTATTTTGCCAGTTTGACATATTAGGTGGCATTGTTACTTTGATTTTTTTACACCAAGACAGTATGTAGAAATAGATGTGTTAGTGAAGGCTCAAAGGCAATTTGCACATTATTTCACTCACAGTGTCCCAGGATTCTAATGAAAAATCTGTGTAAGTTGAGGTATCTCACTTGACACAACTCACTTACAGTTTGTATTGTTATTTTACAGTTGAGGAAATAGAGTCATAACAAAGCTAATAATGTGTTTGTAAGTAATAATATGTAGTGGTAGTAGAATGTAATCTTAGGTGTTGAGATTCTAACTCTAATGTTCTTATAGCCCCCAAATTGAATGGATGAACTTTTAATTTATTTTAATAATAATTTCTTAAAGGGAAATGGAATAGAAGGTAAAAATATTTATATTTGCACAATTCATCTGATACTAGGATTATAGAGGCTTAGATTTTGATTATTTTTCCATAATAATTTAAGCATTATTACAAATAAGAGGAAGAAGGACAGAAAGATCTATGGTAATCAAATGAATTTAAGAAAACAAACACTTTATATTATACCTGGATGTAGATGTGGAGAGACAAGCATTGTGTTCAGACAACCTAAGTTCAACTCCTGAAACAAACACTATCACTTATGTGACATTGGGAATATCATGTAACTCTGAATATTTGTACATTTATAAAATAGGCGTAACCATCTCTCATTTTTTTTGTAAAGTTGAACTGAGGGGATGCACACTTTCTTGCAGACATTATGCATATAGAGCACAGAAGTTATTTCATAATAATTCATAAATTTAGGTATGAAGTTTTTAAGGTACCACTTTTCCCCAAAAATACATACTTTATCTCAGTTTTGCAAGTTTAGCTAAGTATATGTGCATATATACATACATACTTAGGGATGTAAGTACTTAGGAATATAAATTAGAACTGTGAGTTCTTTGTATTGTACCGCTTCTTATCTCTTGGCTTGCTTTGATTTTTCTAAATGTTCTGCTTCCCCCAATTGTAGGTCCTATGGCAGTGTATACAAAGCTATTCATAAGGAGACTGGTCAGATTGTTGCTATTAAACAAGTTCCCGTGGAATCAGATCTGCAGGAAATAATCAAAGAAATTTCAATAATGCAGCAATGTGACAGGTAAAGGCACGTGGGGTTCTTTTGGAGAGGACATGGGTTTGGGTTTATTATGCTTAGAGTTTGACACCTAGACATTCACTTATTTTGCAGAAAATAGAGGTCAGTGGAATTACATTATGTGTGCTTTTAAAAAAAAAGATGAAAAGTTGTGTGTTTTTATAGCTAAAATTTGATAATTTCTATTTCTGCATTTTTTTTTTTCCTTCACTAAGTCCTTTTAGAAACTAGGAAAAAGAAGCAGAAGGTATTGCTGGCTCTTTTTTTTTCTCTTTTTGATAATGATCTCTTCCTAATGAGAAATGTTTCTGTAGAAACAGCTTAGACAAGATAGTTCAAATACTTTTTAGCTCTAGAAATTTTAGAATAGTAGATTGGTCTGTAAAAAAAGAATACTTAATTTATATATTACTGTTCCTTCATATTTAAAGTTATTCGAGCTGAGAATAGTTAAGTATTTTATTTTTGAGGAACCAAGATTTGTCAAATGTAGTAAGCAGGAAGTCGGGTTAGAAGGCAACCGCAGAAAAGCACGTGGCTTGCTCTCATTTTCTGTGACAACATGAGTTGGTCACTGTGATGGAGCAGGCTTCCCCACACTATTTAGGTTTGAGAGAAACATACAGTTAAAGATGATGCCAGCTCTGGGGGGTTAGAAGGACAGGTGAAAAGTTTTGGACTTGAGACTGCATTCATTTTCCAAAGGTTTTTTGGTCAGATCAGCTTAGTACTTTCTTGTAAAGCTTCAACAAAGGTGGAGCTGCCTGCCAGGACATTTGCCTAGGAACTTTAAGTCTTACAGACTTCAAATACAGCCAGTTCTAGTCTCTCTCCCTCTTTCTTTTTCTCTCGTGGTCACTGTCTACTAGATTAAGTCCCCATTCTTGTTGATTGGATTGACCAGATTAAGTTAGTTCTCTCTGAAATTTGTTTTATCTTCAAGCTTGAGACCTAAAATTCCAGATTTGATCCTATTTTTTTCTCCATATTTTTTAGATTTATAGTGCGATTTATTATCACAAAGTACCTGTGACATTTTAGAAAAATGCAGATGGAAAGAAGGAAATAAAATCACTTTTCCCTTTTGAGAAATTGTTAAATACTCCTTCATGCTCATATTCTTCCATGTCTCTTTTTGGAGTTTTACTATGCTTACTATTTTGTAGTCCTTTTTTTTTTTTTCTTTTTCTTTTTTTGGTAAACAGGATATCTTATGTTATCAAATACTCTGTAAACATTTTTTCATGTATTCATGATGTTCATTATATGATGATCATTATTTCTTAAATTCTCTAATGTTGGTGGCTATTTAAATTGCATCTAAATGTTCACTATTACCAGTTCTATCTATGTTGCTATTTTTGAATATCTGTAATTCTTTTCTAATTGTAGACTTAGAAATGTTGGTTAAAGTACTCACTCATTTTTTGCACTTCTGTTATTTATTAATCTTTGGAAAAGCTATCCTATTTTTCATTCTTAGAAGACTGCTCATTTTTCCTTATCTGGGAATAATTGATCCTTTGAGATGAGAAATTGGTTTTCAAATATTGAGCAGAATGAATTAATAGAGATGTATGAAGGCCATTCCATTAATTTATGCTACATCTTTCTTTAGCCCTCATGTAGTCAAGTATTACGGCAGTTATTTTAAGAACACAGACTTGTGGATTGTTATGGAATACTGTGGGGCCGGTTCTGTATCTGATATCATTCGATTACGAAATAAAACGGTAAGTTTACTTTCTAGAATGATGCTGCTTAGCCAGTGGTCTTATGCCATTTTCTTTTTTCTTGCCTTTTATTCATGTGTTTCTTCTACTATCGTAACCAGGAAGATGACAGTCAAATTTCTCCTTTCCCATAGTTCTGTCTCCCACTTTACGTTTATCTCCTAAAAGTGACAGCTCTGACACAAACTCAATCTGGTGATTTTTACCACAGTTTGTTTATTTCTTACTGGGGAAAATGGCTGTTAAATCTTGGTTATGGAATGAATTTATTTAAAAAATTTAAAAAAATTTTTTTTAGATGGAGTTTCAAAATGCAGTTCAGGCTGGTTTTGAACTCACTATGTAGCCCAGGCTGGCCTCGAACTCACAGTGATCCTCCTGCCTCAGCCTCCTGAGTGCTGGGATTACAGGCATGTGCCATCATGCCTGGCTGGAATGAATTTTAAATGTTTAATTTTGAATTTGAATTTCTTCTCTTACCCAGCATGTTCACAGATTAATTTTCTCTACTTCGACTTCTTGTTAATCAGAATAACCTCAGTGTGAAAGATTATTTGCTATTACTGTGATTGCTGGAATAAGACCTAATAGTCATGGATTCTGGCTCCATTTCAATTGTTTAAACTCTCTTTATTCACTCAGTAAATATTACTAGAACACTGCTTTAGGCCTTAGGGGCCCAGTAGCAAATAAGAGAGATAGTAAGCTTGTTCTCATGGTAGCACACTTAAAAAAAAATTATTGGTATATTTTAGATATATATAATGATAACATTCATCATAGGGAATTTGTACCTGTACCTGATATATCTTGCTGCTTCTTTTTTTTCCATTCCCCTCCCCTCTTCTCCTCTCTATTTACAAAAGCTTTGTTTCCATTTTTTTCTTCTATTTCCTTGCCCCTTACTTCCCTTCTCCCTCCCCCCTCCCTTATTCCCCTTCCCATTGAACATTTTCTTCGTATTTCCCAATATCTATTATATAGTTTGGTCCTTATTTACACTCCTGGTTTCTCACACTGGAGAAACAATGCACATTTAAACGTGTGTCTGATTTATTTCACTTAGGAATATGGTCTCAAGGTGTATCCATTTCATTAGGAATGTCTCAGGCAGTAGCACACTTTCTAGCAGGGCAACAAAAAGAAAATTAGTGGTGAATAGAAAAGAAATACCACATAGTGATAAACACTATGATTAAAATGAATGAGGATGAAGTGATGGTAAAGTGATAGAGAATGCTTGGTGGCTTACAGTAGAGCAGTGGATAGTTGAAGAAGATTATTTGGAAGAGGTACATTTAAAGTAAGACTTGAAGGACAAGAAAAAGCTAAGTCTCTGGAGGGAATAACCAATACAAAGATCCAGAAAGAATTTGGCATTTGAAAAAAGGTTGCTGTGACTAGAAGAGAAGAGATGAAGGGGGAACTGGAGAAGGCGTTAGACAGGTGGGTAGGGCTTGATCGCATTGGGTATTGAAGGTCATGATAATGAGTTTGAATTTTGTTCCATGTACAGTAGGAGACTTCCTGGGTTCTAAGCAAGTGAGTGAGCCATCTGTCTGATTTATGGTTTTAAAAGATAACTGTATAAATTTTGAGTGAATAAAAGCAGGAGAAACTTTCAGCCTTTGGGGTTTTTTTTTGTCTTTAAGAAAAATAAGAATTAAAAACCCCCATATTAAATATTTGCAAAGTTGTGAAAATTTAAGTATGTGAAAGTAGGCTGTAAAAATTTTAAGGTACTATATACATTATAAGGTGAGGGCTGCTTTGAAACTCAATTGTAAGTTTTGGCTTATCCATACCACTATCTTCTTAATTTATGTTATTCAGAGTTAGTGTGTTTTTTTAAGCAAATAGCAAGTTCTTGAGCAAGGAATAACATCCTAACATAAGATATATTTAAAGAATTAATAACTTATTAATCTAAAATTTGGATTCCAGAGCTTCTTAAATGAAGCATTAAGTTGTTTTGTTTCAGGTATTTTAAAACAATCCAGAATTAATTTTCATGGTGCTCTTGATACCTATTGATAACTTGGTATTTGTTTATTATTTTTATATAATTTTAACTATTAAGTGAGAATTTTTAATTATTACCCATACTTTTGCTAAATGTTATAGTTCTACACTGTTCATCCACTAGCCATGTGTGGTTATTGAGGACTTGAAAAATGACTGGTCTTAATCGAAATGTGCACTAGAATGAAAGTAATGAAAAGTATGAAACATGCACTAGAGATGAATTACTACTGATAAAAAGTAAAAAATCTTTAACTTTATATTAATTACATGATAGAATAATATTTTAGATAAATACAATTAAGTAAAATATTATGCAAATTAATTTAAATTTTTCTTTAAAAAAAAGTGGCTGCTGGAACCTTAATTATATTTGTGGCTTCTGTTGTGTTTCTGTTGGGCAGGACTGTTGTAATTGAATAGTGCAGCTGATTAAAACAAGGAGTCAGCTAGACGTCATGATCTTTGTTTCTTTTGGCCGCAGAAGATACTCAGAACTAGCCTGTTACTTTGGCAGTAGTATTTATTTGGACTTTAGTGAAAACTCTTATTGTTTATTATCTCTGTGACCTTTGGCACAAATTACCTTTCTGTCCCTCAGCTTCATTAACTTTTTGAGACAGAGTTTCTCCATATAGTCCAGGCTGGTCTTGAACTCACTATGTAGTCCAAGCTGGCCTCAAACTCACAGTGATCCTCCTACCTCAGCCTCCCAAGTGCTGGCATTACAGGTTTGTGCCATCGTGCCTGGCTCCTCAGCTTCGTAATGTATTAAGATGGTGATGATAATAATAGTACTTCCACCTCATTTAGCAGTTTTACAAGAATTATATAAGATTACAAAATAGTGCCTCATATAGATTAAACACTTAGAAATGGTTACCTATTTTTAATATTATTAGCATAGCTCCTGGCTCATAATAGGTATTTACTAAATTTTTGTTGATTGATTGATTATGTGGTAGATATTAAACTATTATTAATCATAGTGTGTATTAAACCATTAAGCATTCTGTAACTTCATCTTCTTGTTACTGTTGTTATTGCTGGGGATTAAGCCTAGGGCCTTGGTGTGCTAGAAAAGCATATCACATGGTTTTTTGTGACTTAAAGATGGTATTCCTATTTTGAATATTAAGAAATTGAGCCAGGGAAATTAAGAAATTAAGAAATTGGGCTGGGGATTTAGCTCAGTGGTTTCACCACCTGCTGCGCAAGCGCAAAGACCTGAGTTCGATCCCGCCCCCCCCCCCCAAAAGAAAGAAATTGAGGTTAAGAGCTCAACAACTTGCTTAAGTCAGATAGCTACAAAATAGGGTTGAGTAAAGGATAGGCCTTTCTAATCCTAAATCCTATACTTTTTCTGCCATGTACTTTTCTTTAAATGTGAGTTGTTTGTCCTAAGGGGAACCGTGTGAGAGCCTAATAGACTGAGTTTATTTATGACTTGGGTTAGATCTCCACAAAATCAGCGTTGGTCTGATCAGACAATCTATGCCACTCTTTGGTGGTTTGAATTTCATTTAGCTATCATCATTCAGTGATTATTTTTTCACTGCCCATTATTTGCAGGATGTCTTTCTTGGTATTAGGAATACAAAAGTAGGGGAGGGAAAGAGGATGAAAAGGGGAATTGAGATGTATTATGTACATATACCAGGTCCTCGCAAGGAATGTAAACATTATGTACTACAAACATGTACTAATAAAGAAAATGAGCTGGAAAAAAGGGAATACCAAAGTAAACAAATCAAAGACTTTTTGGTTTTGGTACTGGGGATCAAACTCAGGACCTTGTTCTTGGAAGGCAGGTGCGAGCACCCCTGAACTAAATTCGCAGCCCTCAAAGACATTTCTAATGGAACTTATTTCTAATAGGGAAGGCATCATACTGATAGGTATGTAAATAATGTATAGTGTGTTGGATGATGTGCTGCCCTGACAAAGTAAGCTGAGGGAACAGAGTGAGTTGGGTGAGTAGGAGGTTGCCAAGTAGAGTAGACGTGGGTTCTACTTAAGATGCTTGCTAGATACTCAGAGATGTTGCAGGCCGATGTATGAATCTGATGTTTGGGACGACACCTGGTCTGGAAATACCACTTGGGGAGTTTAACATATAAATATTATTAGCAGTCAAATGTTGCTCAGGTGTTGAATAAGATTTTATGTTTATAGTTTGAATCTAACTTTTCTTTTTCAAATGTGTGGTGTAAACATAGGATTTGACCTTCTCATTCTTTTTTCAGTTAACAGAAGATGAGATAGCTACAATATTACAATCAACTCTCAAAGGACTGGAATACCTTCATTTCATGAGAAAAATACACCGAGATATCAAGGCAGGAAACATTTTGCTAAATACAGAAGGACATGCAAAGCTTGCAGATTTTGGAGTAGCAGGTCAACTTACGGTAAGTAAAAATGGTATTTGTATTGATACTTTCAGCTTTGTCCTGAGGGATCAATTCCTTTTACTTATCTTTAAAATATAATAATTGACTTAATTATGTTAGTAAAAAATTATAGAATCTACCAATCAATAGGTTACAAGAAAGTTAATAGATTATTTCAGATCCTTTCCTATGGTTCAGGTCACATTATTTAACTTTGTTTTAAATTTTTATAAAAATGAAAACTAAAGGAAGAAATGATTGAGTATTTAAGTTCTGTTGAGCTACAAAAGCATATTTATAAATGGAAGAAAAATTAAATCCATGCTTTCTTTAAATAAGGCATAGTATCATCTCATTCAGCTTCCAAGTAATAATTTAACAGTTATTGTACTGAAGACATTTTCACTTGGTTTCAGCATCATCTGTTGATTCTCCTCCTGTCTCACTAGTGCATGGCAGGGAAAAAAGAAAAAAAATTTCAAAATAGGAATTTATCTGATTTTGTAAAATACCCAAGAATATGGAAAAGTATATACAAAAAAAGTAGAAATAATTATAGGCAGGTGTACATTAAAATTTACAACTGTGTTATGTATCAAGTGATTTTCTTGAGTGGTAGAAAGGATATGCACACACATATATATGTATATACAACTATATAGAGAGAGAAAGAGAGACTTTAGAATTGGTATTACGTGTAATTTATTTTTTTACTTTAAAATTTGTTTGGGACATGTTAGGGAGTTTTGTATTACAACAGCACAGAAATTGCTCTGATGTTCTAAAACAACTTAGAACCTTATTCAGGTGGTTTGTGGACTCTTTACATATTGTTAATAAGTAAACCGAATCAAACAATATTACATAAACTACAGTCTTAAGGAAATCAAATTAAAAAGTGTAGTTTTCTGATGCTTTATAGAAGTGTAATATTAAAATTAACAATGTTTGTTACATTATGTGTGTATGTACATATGCTACAGCCTGTTTCTGGGCTACTTTTCTGTTGCTCTACTATTATACAAACTAATATAACTTTAAACACAAATCTATATGATATTAGTATCTACTCATTTAAGTCTCAAAAAATTTGTAGCTATCCAAGTATGTATCTATTTCTAATTGAAATAATCTAGTGAAACCTACGTTGACTATTGTCATATGAAAACACCCCTGCAGATTTGAAGTTTCAGAACTAAGGAAATGACTAAGCAGTAAGTTATTTCCTATGTTAATTTTTTACATAGGACACATGGTGAGAGATCAATTCAGAAATGTTACCGGTCATTTACTCTAAATTGGCATAACTTAATTAAGCCACAGGCATTTCAGAAGGACCAAACATAACTGATGATGATCGAAAGTCCTTTTTCATCTTTAGTTCTGTTTAAAAGTCCTTCTCCTTCTAAGTACAGGAGCTGTAGGAAGGTTCTCTTTCAGTAGGGCTGTGCCATTCTGGAAAAATGTGCAAGTAATTATTTGCCGTAGTATGTAATTTGTGTACTATGTCCACATATTCTTTTAGCCACAGTTAAAACTTTTTTATATATAATTTTTTATATGTAATTTTTTTTTGAGACAGGATCTCACTTTGTCCAGGCTGGCCTTGCATTCCCTATGTAGCCCAGGCTTGTTTTGAACTTGAGATTCTCCTGCCTCAGTCTCCTAAGTGCTGGGATTACACACCTGTACCACCATACCTGGCTATATATATAAACTTGAAAATGTTTTCCTGATTGCTCATGTAATAATGTGTCATCAGAATGTTACAGAAGTATATGTAGTACGGAAAGTAAAAGTCTGTATGATTCTGCCTTCTAGATAAATAACTGTTAATGGTTTTCTGTGTATTACTCAAGATTTTCTTTTATGTTACAACATTTTTTCTTACTGGTTATTGTTTTATTATCTTGTTATTTTCTGTATTTTCCTTTCACAAAAATAGGGCTATATTATATATAGTTTTGCAGCCTAATTTTTTTTGTTTCATAACATATCACATACATTTTTTCCATGGTGAACAAAAGTATCTGTCTTTTTTTCTGTGCGCGCGCGTGTGTGTTTCTGTGTTTGTGGTGCTAAGGCTTGAACTGAGGGCCTAGCACATGCCAGACAGTTGCTCTACTGCTGAGCTACACTTCCAGGGGTTCCTAGTCCCTCCTTTTTTCTTTTTAATGTGATATTTCAGTATGTGGCTACATACTATAACAAATGACCCATGTTGGTGGATCATTTGAATTGTTTCCTTGTCTCCTCTCTCAATTACGAACACTTCTACCATCCTTGTGCATATGTCTTGGGGCACTTCCATATAAGACAAATTTCTACAAGTAGATTTGGATCAAAGGATGTGGATATTTAAAGGTTTAATGAATATTGCAATGTGCCTACTAAAATTGAGTACAAAAATTTATACTCCATTGACGTTGTTTCAGGGCCAAGTTTTGTATGCTATTTTCATTCATTCATTTATTTATTTTTGTTTTGTTTTTTGGTTTTTTTTTTGAGACAAGAGTCTTGCTATATACAAATTGGCCCTGAACTCACTGGGTAGCCCAGTCTGGCCTCAAACTTGCATTGATCCTCTTTCCTCAGCCTCCTGAGTGCTGAGATTACAATATGTGCATCACCACACCCAGCTTGTATGCTATTATTAGTGCCAGTTATTAATTTAAAATTTTATCTTATTTCATATTTAACAATTGATTAAGAATCTGTTTCTTTTTTTTCTTTCTTTTTTTTTCTTTTGGTACCGGGAATCGAACTCAGATCCTTCCGCTTGAAAGGCAGGCAGCGGAACCACTGAGCTAAATCCCCAGCCCCAATCTTTCTGTTTCTTGGTCACTTGAAATTCTCTTGTGAATTCTTTTTTTGTTTGTTTGTTTTGTTTTTTGGTACCGGGGATTGAATTCGGGTCCTTGCACTTGCGCAGCAGGCATTGAAACCACTGAGCTAAATCCCCAACCCTCTTGTGAATTCTTGGTCATGGTTTTTATACAGATTTTAAGTACAAAGCATTTTGACTGTTGGAAAAATCCTTTTAAGTAATTACAATGCTTTGTCTCTCCTCTTTCTATTTTAGGATACCATGGCCAAGAGGAATACAGTGATAGGAACACCATTTTGGATGGCTCCAGAAGTGATTCAGGAAATTGGATACAACTGTGTGGCAGACATCTGGTCTCTGGGAATAACTGCCATAGAAATGGCTGAAGGAAAGCCTCCATATGCTGACATCCATCCAATGAGGGTAAGGAAATGGATGGAGAACAAGTGGGGTTAGTTATTGACCATCTTAATACTTTAGGCACCTATGTTTTAACATGGTAACCCTAACTGGAGCTGAGTAGTCTCCTTTATGAGCTTTCCACGAAGTCCCCAGGCTTCCTTATTGTATTACTAAGTATCAGATATCATTTATTAGTGTTTTCTCTAATACTTTGATTGAACTCAAGTCAGTAACACCTAGTCTGATTCATCTGTTACCTTTTTCCCATCTGGCCTCTATAGGTACTAGAATTTGTAAATTCTGGAATGTGGATCCCAGACTTTTCTAGAGACTCTGTTCTCTCCACCCTCCATCTACTTTTCATTGTTAAGATCACATAGGCTTCATCTCCTCTGAAACTCCTAGTGTTGACACCCTAGTTCTCCAGCTTCTCCCACCCCTAGAACTCCTTGCAACAGCGCTGTTACAGGGCCTCAACCCTGCCTTCCTCAAGAGCGCCACAGCTCTTTCCATAGCTCCCAAACCAGCGTTTCCTCTTCTCTGTAACTAATTCATTCCCCCTTGCAAGACTTGAACTTTTTTTTTTGTAAGTATTCATGTGCCCAAAGATAAGCTTCCCTCTTTAGCAGGGGACAAAAGTTGGGAAGAATGGAGGGTTTACTGGTTATATTTTTAGATTTAAAGGATATAATTTAAGGTGCTTATTGCAAAGGGTTTTATCTTTCCAAAAAGACTTTTTTGAAACTCAAAGCTTTTTAAGTAGAATTTGACTGATGCAGTGGAATGATTTTTAATTGTCTTTTTTTTTTTTTTTTTTTCCGAAAAAGACTTTTTTTAAGCTCAAAGCTTCTTTTTGAAGTAGAATTGGACTAATGGAGTGGGATGATTTTTAATTGTCTTTTTTTTCCCCCAATATTTGATTTGTCTTGGCTTGGAGTTTACCTTGTGATGTTGAGACTTCTGGTTGATGATCTCCTTGTAGTCTAGACATCTAGAGTGGTGGTGACTTGGACGGAAGCAGGAAATTAGACCGCAATGAGGTTATCTTCAGTATATGGGTACTTGTAGGTGTTGCCTTTCCACTTTGAAAGGCCTTGTAATGTAGTTAGCATAAAAAATGAAAATACAAAGCTTCATCAATATTGCAAGGTTTAGGGGAAAATACAATGAGAGAGGGAAAGAGAAGGAGAGAAATATATCAAGTTCTCTAGTTGTCATATTTCATACATTAAGATGTTGAGACTTTGGGTGAAACTTGGTTGCATGGGCTTATCAACGGATAAGAGAAAAATCATTTTATCAAGCTTCAAATGTAAATTATATATATATATATATGGGTTTTTTTTGGTACCGGGGATTGAACTTGGGGCCTTGGGCTTGCGAGGCAGGTGGAGGCATCACTGAGCTAAATCCCCAGCCCTGTAAATTATATTTTGTATTATATTTTGATTGTATTTTTATTGGTGCATCACTTTTTATTTTACCAAAAAAAATTCTTTTAATTAGGCAATCTTCATGATTCCAACAAACCCTCCTCCCACTTTCCGAAAGCCAGAGCTGTGGTCAGATAACTTCATGGATTTTGTGAAGCAGTGTCTTGTAAAGAGCCCTGAGCAGAGAGCCACAGCCACTCAGCTCCTACAGGTATGAGTCACACTGTTGCCCTCCATTCTGCTCACCTGCTGACTAGAGGATCCTTTCAGCGACCTGCATGGAGATGGTCTTACTAAATTATTTTCCTGCCTAGATGGGGTAATAAGAGTTTATGGAAAAATATCTCCTGTACCCCAGCACATGTCTTTTTAATCTGTGCGGTATTTAGAAGGCCTTGGAGAACTTACCCTCTGACACAAGATGGGGAATAGAAAGTTGATTGCAAAGAAGAAACATAGGACCATATCAGACTATTTTTGAAAACAACAGGCAACCCCCCAGAAGAATTTCCATATGCAGTTTTTACAGCAGAAATTTTTTTTAATCATTCTGTTATAAACATAAGATAGTAATATAAAAAAAACTTTGCAGTAATTTTTATAAAGGAAATTCAGCAGTGTTCCTATGTTTCAGGTGTATTTGCTGATTGAATAATGCTTGAGTCTACATCTGTTAGATATTTATGATCAGTTTTACTAACTGTGTTTTCATACTAAAAATCCCTTTTGGCTACATATGTAGTTGTAAATGCTATAGTACATAGAATAGAAAGGATAAGTGGGATAAATAATTTATGCAGTGATGTCTGAACAGTGGCTTTATTTAAGCTCCCCTTTCTAAAATCACCTCCCAGAATCACTAGACATTTTCCTATCTCTTAAAAATATTCAGTATTGCTAAAGTGTAACATGCACTTGAAGACTTTTTTTTTTTTTGGTACTGGGGAGCGAACTTGGAACCTTGTGCTTGCGAGGCAGGCAGCAGAACTACTGAGCTAAATCCCTAGCCCCTCTAAGACACTTGAGAGGTGTGCAGAATATGCCACAGTTCATTGCCATGCAGGACCATTTCATACTTCACAGGCTTGCTGGCATGCCTGTCTCCCACCCCATGCCTTGTGTGCTGTCCAAACACTAGCAACAGGCTCCCAACATGTTTACTAAATCTTAGTCTAGGAGGTGATAGCACCTTGTTGAGAATCTGTAGATTTGACAGAAGAAATGGCATAGGCATTCCAGCCAGACTGAAAAAAGTGGGCAAAATATGAATGTGTACTTCTCTGCCCAGAGTTATAAAGTCAGTATGGTTTAGCTGTTGTCCAAAGCATAAAGAGAAAGATGTTCATTGATAAAGGAAGATATCAATTACTTGCTGTATGCCAGGAACTGTTTGACTCTGTAACCATATAAGCTGTCTCCAGTGTTTCCATTTTCTTATTTAAGCACCCATTTGTCAAGAGTGCCAAAGGAGTGTCAATACTGCGGGACTTAATTAACGAAGCCATGGATGTGAAACTGAAACGCCAGGAAGCCCAGCAGCGAGAAGTGGACCAGGATGATGAAGAAAACTCAGTGAGTGGCAAGCTTTTCTGTGATCCTCAGGCATTAATGGTTGTTATTTCATGATTGCCAAGACAGGTAAGGTGATAATTGTATCAGCTTGGAGCTGGAAATTCTTTCTACGTGACCTGGACCCAGGTTTGCCAAATTTCTGAATCTGTGCTTGTTCTTCCCCTGGTGCTTCCTAAAACTCTTTTAAATTTCACTGTTTTCCCTCTGTATCTTCTCATTAATTTTACTTTTTATTTGAGAAAGAAAGAATGCTCAGATCTGAGACTTAGTTTTTCCAAGTCCTTTTGGGAAATCTAGGCTCTATACTTAACATGTAGCCTTTATTTATATAGTCTTCTCACCTCTGAGATTCCAAGGGTGCTCATGTCAACTTCTAAGATCTATCTTGCAAAAACTTATGAGAATAGGGGAGGAACAGGATCCTTTAGGTTAGATATGCTGCTCTTTTATGGGTAAATATATGATCTTCTTTGGTTAAGTAAGAATACTTTCAGTTCTACAGTATGAGTTTGGAACTGGAAGAAGTGTCAGTTCCAGAAATATTTGAACCAAGATAAGTATTAGTAATTCAGATAACCGTAATTCAGGACAGTAATTCATAATTCAGAGATTCAAAGTCTTATGATCAAATTAGTCCTGATTTGAGACTTTGTCCTTTTACAGGAAGAAGATGAAATGGATTCTGGCACAATGGTTCGAGCAGTAGGTGATGAGATGGGCACTGTCCGAGTAGCCAGCACCATGAGTGATGGAGCCAATACTATGATTGAGCATGATGACACATTGCCATCACAGCTGGGCACCATGGTGATCAATGCAGAAGATGAGGAGGGAGAAGGGACTATGAAAAGTAAGACTGATGAAATACACCAATTTCTTAAAGTACATGCATTTCATAGAGTATGGGCTCTCATGACCCATGCATGCTTAGTCTTGAGTCCTCCTCCTGTTGCCACAACTAAAGGAGCTCACCTGTAAGGGGCATGGTGGGGTCAGGAGGCTTGAGGAGAGAGAAAGCTGTCATGTGGACTCAGATAAGAAAGCATCAGCAGTGAGAAGTTTTGTTTTTGAACCCACCTACCCATTCTGTCATTGAATGTTGTCATTCAAACACATGCATGATTTTGATGCATTATTTCAAAGTGTAATGAAATTCTGACCTATTTACCATGCATATCTTTAATCCATTTTCATGATGGTCTGTGTGTCTAACCCAGGGTTTTTCTGTTTGTTTGTTTGTTTGTTTTCTTGTTATTGGGGATCAAACTCAGGACCTTGAGCTTGCAAGGCAGGTGAGGTGCCACTGAGCTAAATTCCTGACCTTAACCCAGGTTTATCTGCAGCCAGTCATTTAAAGATGACTGTACAAGATTGTAATTTCTGTCAAGTCCCATCTCTGACCCTCCCTTCCTCCCTTCCTAACTTCCTAACTTTATTGCCATGACCCGAACAGTGTAGGGTCCAAAGCTGGGGAGAGCGGTGGGAGATGAAGAAAACTGAAGAATTACAAGAAAGAAAGACGCATACCAAGATTAAACTTGAAAGCTGAGACCAGGTGGAACCATAGCCTGTTGAGCTAATGGCTGCCTAGAGTCCAGTGCGCTCTTTATTTATAGTGTAAGACAAGACAGAAGGCAAGGTAACTAGTGCCACGTGGCTCACATGGCCCATGTGGCCTAGGCTGAATGTAGCGTGATTGTCTCATGATGGGACATGTGCAGAAAAGAAACAAGGAAGAAGGATACATAGTGTAACTGTCTCCTGGGGCTGTGCCATTCATGGTCTACAATCTTAGTCAAACAGACTATGTCTCTAGTCTATGGAGAAGAAAGGGAGTAGGGATTAGGCAAAGGACCATCTTCAGGCCCGGCCTGCGGCACTTTATTCCTTTTTTCTTGTTCTCACATTGTTGCCCAAGCTGGCCTTGAGTTCCTAGGCTCAAGTGCTCCTCTGGCCTCAACCTCCTGAATAGCTAGGATTATAGCAGTGCACCACCATGCCTAGTCTCTGACTCATCCTTTTTTTTCTGTGATTAAGGCCTAACACCTTATGTTGAGCTCCCATCTTAGTATGCCATACTGTACTCTTCAGCTATTGTCCTTCCCCTTATTCTGAGCAGTATAGACCAACTCAAAGTACCAAATGATAATAATTGACTTGTGTAGGTAAAATTTAGCCTAAACGTCGCATAGATCTTTTCATCACCTTTATTTTTCTTCCTTTTTTTTTTTTTTTTTGATACCGGGGATTGAACTCAGGACCTTGTACTTGTGAAGAAGGTGCCGGAACCACTGAGCTAAATCCCTGGTGCTTTTTCTTTCCTTTTTAAAATTTAAAGGCCCATCCTCTAAACTAGGGATTTGCAAACTGTGGCTCATGGGCCAAATCTGGCTCACCACCTGCTTTTGCTAATAAAATTATATTAAAACAGCCATTGACATTCATTTATGTGTTGTCTATAGCTGCAGAGTTGAGTAGTTGGGATAGAGATGATACAGCCTTAAATATTTGCTATTTGGCCCTTTACAGACAGTTTGCCAGGCTTCCTCTCTAGACTCTCTGCTTTGTGATTGATTAATTCATTCAATAAATTTTTCTTCAATGCTTCCTATTTCCCAAGTACTTTGCTAGGTCCTGAGGACAGCAGGGAATGAAGCAGCAGTTTTTTCCCTGGAGGAACTCCTTGTCTAGTCTAGGGGAAAGATCATTAATTACAATTCATGTATGAAATGAGTTAATGCAGGGTAAGTTGAGGGCCTTGTTGAAGCAGTGTGGAAGAGTAATTTATACTGGGGCTCACTGAAAAATTCCTGGAGGAAAAGGGCAGCAGCAGGGTTGTCAGTACACAGGGTGAGTGGAGCTATTCCAGCCAAGAGAACAGTGTGCACGGGATCCTAGGTAAGCAGTGGGTATCTTCAGGGGAAAAGGCTTGTTTATCGTGGCTGGAATGGACAGTTGCAGAGCAAGGCTCTCAGGTGTCCCCTCTAACTTCACTTCTCAGATTATGATCTGTATGTGTATAATCAACTCCTTGTTTTCAAAGGGAAAATATTTTCTTTTTATTTTGGAGCTCAGGCTCATTATCTCTGTTTGGCTTCTGGTCAAAATTGTATTCATGTTGAAAGAATGGTAATAATGACAGTAGATTCATAAATTGGTATAATTTTTCTCAAATCCAATATGTATGAAGAATTTAAAAATTTCAGATCTTTTACCCAGTGAATTCCTCTTTTAAGAATCTGGTACAAAAAATAATTGAAGATACAGAAAAATATATTTAAGAATTTTCCCAAACATAGTACTTATGATTGTAAACAAAACAAAACAAAAGCCTGGATTAGTTTAAATGTTCAGGTGCAGGTGATTGGTCATGTTGTAGTACATTCATGTTGAGGTACGTACATTCCGTAGGATGGAATACTGTGCCATTGAAAAACACCTAAAATCCTGTTTTGAGGAACACTTACTGAATTGGAGAAATATTTGTATGGAGTGGGAAAAAAGAGAAATCAAAATTATAGCATGACTACAGTTTTATAAATGTAAAAAGATAGTATGCTCATAGAAAAGAAACTGAAAAAGGAAATAAATGAAAATATGCATTAAAAGTGATTGACACTCTTAACTGGTACAGTTTTGAGACGAATCTGAGAGAAGGTGCAGTCTCACCCAAAATGGGAAGGACAAGTGAAGGATAGCCAATGGTGCTTGTCTAAGATAGTAATTTTTCTCACTTTTTTCTGAAACACATGCAAGGGCAGAATAGCCTACAGAATATCTACCTGAATACTCACTTTGTTTGATGGTAAGGAAAACTCACATTTTAGAAGTTTCCATTAGGTCCCCAGGTACTATTCCTATATGAAGTACTTAGAGTATAATTTACACAAAAATTAAATGGATATTTTTTAAAATTTGTAGTGTTAAAAACTACAAATAGCTGGGCATGGTGGTAGATGCCTGTAATCCCAGCGCTCAGGAGTCTGAGGCAGGAGGATTGCTGAGAGCTCAAGGCCAGCTTGAGTGAGACCTTGTCTCAAAACAAAGCAAAACAAAAAACCCTACAAATAATGTAGCAAAAATGTGTGTGTCTTATATGTAGAATTAACATACTGGTAGTTTTTTAGACACATTTCACACGTTCTTAAGCAAAAACCACCTATGACTTTACTGATGAAGTTAAAGTTGTCTGACATCTCTTATTAATGACAGTAATCAAGAATGTGGTGTGTAATTTGCTCTGCTTTGTTTCTGTATCTTTGCTGCATATGTTTATATCCATAAATAGCTAGGGCTGTTTTACTTTGTAATCCTGGAGATTGATACCTACTGCTGTTTGGTCCTTTTTACTTTGCAGTCCTGGGAATTGAACCTAGGGCCTTCTGCTGAGTCACACCCCCAGCCCTGTTTTTAAAATTGAATCAGAGTCTCACTAAGTCACTGAGTTTTCCCAGGCTAGGCTTAAACTTGACATTCTCCTGCCTGAACCTTCCAGAATGCTTGAATTACAGGCTTTGTGTGTGTGTGTCCATCTGTCTGTGTGTCCGTGTGATTAAATGATTAAACTCAGGTCCATTGCACCTAGTTAAATCCCCAGATCTTTTTGTTTGTTTAATTCTTGAGAGATCTTGCTAAATTTCCTACATGATCCTAAGTTGAACTTGTGATCCTTTTGCCTCAGGCTCCCAGAATGTTTGGGATTACAAGCGCACACCACCATGCTCAGCTCAGCTTGCTGTTTTTAAACGGAACTATTTGAGTGAGATGGATCCTTGCTGATAAGTGATGGAGGAATGTATGTAGCACAGTATATATTCCTGTTTTGCTGGATATTAAGTTGCTTCTAGCTTTTTGCTGTTAAAGCATGTCTCTGTATGTGCCCTTTAGACATTCATTTCTTTAGGGAAAGTCAACACCTAGTCTCATGGTATGAGCTCTGGTGTATATACTTAGAGTCCTCCACACTACTCTTCTAACTGAAATAATTTACACTCTGATTAGCAGGGGATGAGAATTATGGTTTCTTGTATCTTCTGCAGTAATTGATATTACCAGGCCTTTTGCCATTCTGAGGAATGTCAAATGTTCTTGTTTTTCATGAAATTGATATAAAAATTAATGGAGAACACAACAGTATTTATGTATATACTACCAGTTTAAGAAATGAAAACATTACAAAAGTATTTACTCTGTGACTCCTTTCTCTGTTGTATTCCTCTCATGTCTTCACCACAGGTAATCATTTTGTAGTTCTTCCTTCTTTATTTGAATTTATTGTCTTTCTAGTTTCTTGAATGTAGCACTGAGCCTTTCGATTTTAAACTTTAGAGTACTGTTTTAAAACAGTATTCCACAAGTGCTGGTGTACAGTGTTGGTGTGTATAGATTGTCAGTTATATTTCAAGTTAATTCATTTATTGTGATAATGATACATTTGGACTTAGCTCTACTCACCATGTTTTTCTCTTGGTACTTTTTTCTCCCTTCTTTACTTCTGTTGGGTTGATTGAGTCCTCACTCTCCTCACCTTCCTACCTTTCCCTAACCCCTCTCTCCATTCTCTGCCACCAGCTGGCAGAGTGTATGCATAAGTATATGTCCACTTAACTTTGTTTTTCTGATACGTTCCAAGTTGATATCTCTATCCTACTTCTGAATAAGAAAAAAAACCTTAAAACATTTTGCCTTTTCCCAAACTTCCTTTGCCATCTTTTGTTGTTGTTGTCTTCTATTATCTTGGTTCCATCAGGTTTTTAAACTCACACATTAGCTGCTGTAATAATTATTGTGAACCCATACTTAGATTTGTGGACATACTGTGCTACTAATATCTTTGCTCCTTGTGGCTTC